CTTCGGCATACCCAAAACAAAGCCTGTATACCATCCTTATTTCATATGGCTTAGGACGATGCATCAAAGTATGCGGGTTCACATATGCAGAAAACGTAATACTTCAAGTCGAAGGATAGTTACACTCGTGGTCGCACTAAAGATGCTTAGAGGATGAACTAAAAGTTCAAGCAACATCTTTAGGATGAGTCAGTCTGGCATCCTATTATCTCTAGATAATATCTGCCCATGTGCGGATGCGAACACACCGTCATTGACTATGAGACTAAGTCAAACATCCAACACACACTAGTCTCACATGCATTAACGATATCCCACTCTCGTTAATACTCGACTATGGACATTCAGATAAATATTTATTTCAAGATGTTAGTCTCATCAGCAGAAAAACACTATCTGATAAACATCTTTTAAATATAAATCTAGGAATATAATATTTGTTTACATTAGCATGAGATGTGTAAACATATTATATCTGCCTATACATGATAGAATAATGATAAACAGTTGGCCATCAGGGCACAACTCCAACATAGTGTTCGCCACACATGTGCTAAGTGTGGCGGCTGACAATGTGAGGAAAAGTTTGTCACACATAAAATAAGTGCGGCAAATGAATACATTAATTACACTTATAAGTGTAGTTAATCTTTTCTTTTGCCACATTTATGTGTTTCCAAAGCATCGCATATGTAAATGCGGCAATTTTTACTTGTTTGGAAAAAAATAAAAATACAATATGCACACAAATATGTGTGGCGAATCACAACAACATAACTAATTTTTGAGATTTTTCAAACATTTTAAAATTCATAATAGAACCTATGTGGGACTCGAACCCACCTCTTTGTGCCCATTTGAACACAACACTCTACCATTGAGCTAATAGGCTAAGTATTTCTTTTTCCCAGTCAGGCAGTCTCCTCATTTATATAGTCAGGCAGTCTCCTCATTTATATATCAGTCAATCCAGTAAAATCTTTCACCACGTGTGAAGTAGACGCGTAAGGTACACATTCTGGATGTGCTCAAGCTGCTGCATCAACTGTTTTCCCAGAATCAAACTCCCCCTGCACAAAGAAAGAAAACAAAATACTGGTATGAAATACTACCTCTGTCCTAACCAAGCACCATATTTGACAAATGTACAATTTTTTTTTTACGTCCGTTCCTACTTTGTGTGAATATAGAAACAAATAGCCAAAATGAACCTGTAGTGGTGTGCCCAACACAGCAGTAGCATTTCTCAAATTTATTTGTTTGCTAGTATCTGAAGAAGTGGGCTTGGAAGACTTCTACCACTCTTCACTGTGAGAACGTCTCTGAAACGAAAAAGCATCACACATATCTTCAGCGCCCCATATTGTTGATAACTCAGATGGAAGGGCAATATTATTAATGGCTGTGTTTTGATGTTTCTTTATGTGAGCAGCAATTGCTGCATCAAAGGAGTCACAGCTGAACGGTGTATTATGAACATAGTTAGAACTACTAGTAGGTACACTGGAAGTAATTCTGCACCAACCATAAAAAACCAAAACTTTGAGTTTGATCTGAGGGTAACAATCTAGCATAAATTAGAAATCAAAACCATTGAAGCCATATGCTCAATCCAAAAAACATTGAAGCCATACACTTAAATCAATATTATAGAGAAGTTAGCAGCCTTTTGAACCATAGAACATAGGTACCTTGTACTCAAACCAGCAAAAACATTCTTATTCATACATCATACCAGAATATTGAAGTCAAATTTACAACCATAGCCATAGTCCCCATCAAAGGCACAACCATAACATATAACAACTAATCATATAACGTATTAGATTCCAAAATAGAAACAAAATCAATCAATACAAAGGATTAAAGATAATTTCAGAATCATTCTTCAGTTTCTCTAGGTTGATTCAAACCTTCAGCTCCAATATACCTTCAGAATCATTCTTCAATATACCTTCAGAATCATTCTTCAGTTTCTCTAGGTTGATTCAAACCTTCAGCTCCAAAAAAACAGCCCAGGCAGTGACCAAGACAGTGAGAAACACTCCATTTTGCCCAATTGCAGCAGGTGTCTCGTCCCCCTATCTTCATGCCCCTGTCCAGACTATGGCTTTCCAAAGCATCTCAGCAAACAATTCCAACACACACTCAAGACCCACCCCAAACCAAAACAAGTCATGTTGTACCCCACCATGCATCACAAAAGGGTAAGAAAAATTAGGTGATAATGCTTAAGTGTTATAATCCTAATTGGGTTGAATTTATTCCTTTTTCCCATCAAAAGGCCCAACCCTTAGCCCTTGCTGCCCAAATTCCCCCCTAGCCAAATCACAACCCACAAACCCTCTCCCACAACATCCAAACTCATTTTCTCTGCCCAAAATAAAGTCTTTGTTATTCATTACTAAGCCTAGGCCGAAGGTGAACAACAAAAGACAAAATAAAACTTTTGTTTATTTTTCCTAGACATGATAATCGATTATCCAACATAGATAATCGACTATTGCTTCCCTCTGAATCCTCTCAACGTATTCCTGCAAATGCTCCATAATCGATTATCTCCCTATAGAAAATCGATTATTACTCATCTC